GGGGAGTGGGTGGCATGGGGGGTGGAGGGTGGATGGAGCCCATGCGCCCCGGCCCACAGAGTAACAACGGCAACAGCAGCAACAATTGGAAAGAGGAGAAACGAAAAGACAATGTAACTGCGCCGGCTCCGAACCACCCGCCTCCGATTGCCGCCTCGTTAGAGCATAAGCCGCATTAATTCCATCATTTAGGCGCCAGCCCCGCCACTGTCCCCCGCGGCCCACACAGCCCGCTCCCGGGAGGCTGACAATGTGCATTTAAAACGTGAAGAACACGAATTTCCCGCAGCTGCCTCTCGCCCATTGTGCCGCCCGCCCGGGGCGGGTTTTGTTTTTGTTTTATTTTGTTTTGTTTTGTTTTGTCTTTAAATTTCCCCAAACAAAGTGATTAGGAGAGAAACCACCCCAACACACGGGGCACTGAGACGGGGTGTAAACAGTCCTTGAGGAGGTTTCTCCTCGAATCCGGATGCGCCTCCTGCTCTCAAAACGCGGGCACAGCCTCCCTTTCTAATTTTTTTTTTAACCCTCACCCGAGGCTGCTTTTCCATTGATTTTTTTTTCTTTAGAGAGACTGGAAGGAGGAAGGGAGGGGCGGGGGGAGAAACGTTGATGTGAGAGACTCACAGCCACTGGTTGCCTTCCACGCCTGCCCCGACCAGGGCTGGGATCCAACCTGCCACCTTCCTACAGGTGCGCAGCCTGACGCCAGCTCTAACCACTGCGCCCGCCGGCCGGCGGATGGGTGTGCTCAGTGGGTGAGCATCAACTTATGAACCAGGAGGTCACGGTTTGATTCCCAGGTCGCAGGCTCGATCCCCAGAGCTGGTGGGGGCAGAGTGGGAGGCAACCCATCGATGTTTTTCTCTCTCTCTCTCTGTCTCTCTCTCTCTCTCTCTCTCTCTCTCTCTCTGTCTCCCTCTCCCTTCCACTCTCTCTAAACATCAATGGAAAATGTACCCTTGGGTGAGGATTAGCAAACTCGCAAACAAAAAGGCAGGCCCTTGGCCACACCACGTGATGAAAGGCCCATGAGGTCTGGTCTTGCGTCTCTGTCTTCGGTGATTATTTGGGGACCAGGAAGCATGCGTTCTGCTCACGGGAACAGCCCTGTGGGTGTACATTCCCCCCAAAAAGGTTCTCAAATCCGCATTCTAAACGCCCTGCATTTGCTGAATATTTTCCTTTACAACAATCTGCCTTTTTTTCCTTTTCACTTGTACAATGACTAGTAGCCCATGAAACGCGATGTTACTCTTATGAGCGGAAAACTTTCATCTCTCGATAAAATGGAAGGTGACCATGAGAACTAAGTCTGTGATTATTTAACCATTTAAAGCCATCGACCCAGCCCTGACCGTTTTGGCTCAGTGGCTAGAGCGTCGGCCTGTGGACTGAAGGGTCCCAGGTTTGATTCCAGTCAAGGGCATGTACCTTGGTTGCGGGCACATCCCCAGTGGGGGGTGTGCAGGAGGCAGCTGATCGATGTTTCTCTCTCATCGGTGTTTCTAACTCTCTATCCCTCTCCCTTCCTCTCTGTAAAAAATCAATTAAATATATTTAAAAAATAAATAAAGCCATCGACCCAAAAGCTAACAGCAAAGCGCAGACCCCACTCCGGACCGTCCCCTCAAGCCCCTGACTGCCCCTCCTCCCATGCAAATCGCTCACACCCCTGCTGTCTTCCTTCCCTTCTCCAAATCGTTTCTGGATGTCAGACGTGTCAAGGGAGACTCAAGAAAGACGAATGTTACCGGACTTTTAAGCCACTATATTTTATCGCCTGAGAACGGCCTGACTACCCGCAGGATGTAAGTACTGCAAGGACCTCCTTCCATCTGGGTTGCACTTAGTAGGTGCTTCATACACATGATGAGTGGCTTCCGGCTCCAAGCCTCAAACCCGCCCCCACCCGCCAGGAATAAACTCGTTGGGTTACAAAGACTCTCAGGGGGATTCCTTTCCCCATAAATCAATATCGTTGGCACGAACCCGGCGGGAGGAGCCTTCACATTTCGGTGGGGATCGCAATCCGTTTTGGGCGCTGCATTTATTTCCTGCCAGGGAACAATGGGTCTGATGACAGATTCGAGGCCCCGAACGCGGGGACGCGCAGGGAAGAAAACGCCTGATTAATGGAGCCCCCGAAACACGGAGCCCCCCCCTTCCCGCAGGGGGAGGCGGGCGGAGACACAAATTAAAACGGAGGAAGAGGGTCGATTTTCCAGGAATTGGAAGCGCGGGGAGCACCTGTCAAGCCTGTTTCTTCTTTTTTAATTTTATCCTCACGCAGGGCGACCAGGAAAATAAAAATCACGTTCGTTTCATTCATTCATCGTCATTGTCCTGTCCTCCTCTGACGCCCCCGGATGGAAGACGGAATTGTGTAAAGATAAGACTTTTTAAAAGATGATGTTTTTTGTGTGTTTTTTTTTGCCAAAAGGGGAGAACCCCTCAGTCGCCCGAAATGGACATTCTCGGCCAAAGCCAACGGCCAGGCCCACCGCCTCCCGCTCGGACGGCTCAATGGCTCTTTCACGCTCCCGCCCAAGAGCCACAAACGGGAAACTTCAGCCCCATTTTGGTTTTCAATAAAAATCTTGTTCGACGGGGTCATGAATATTCATGCCCGCGGCTCCGTCCAGAGGAGAACAAGGGGACCCCCTGACGGCGGGAGGGCGGGAGGGAGCTCGCTGGGCGGCAAGAGGGTCGCGGATGAGACGCTATGTTTTTGGACACGTGCGTGTGTTAAAGGAAAAGGAAGCAGAGAGAGAGAAACGGGAGGCCACCGGGGCCTGAAGCCTGCCGGCGCCGTCGGCAGCATTTGGACCCTGCAAACGGCGTCGGCCTCGGTACCAAAGAACTCACAGCCAGAGACGCATCGCGCCGCCCTCACTCCCCGAGTCCGGTGGCAGTTCAAGGTCAAAAGAGAGGGACGGGTGGCGTCATCCGACCTTGGACCCGGTGTCTGGCCTCTTGCCCCGCCCCCAACACGCAGGTAAGGAGGGCGTGAGGGAGGAGAGCCACCTGGCTTCCAGGTGAAGCAGGAGGGTCCCTCAGGGC